AGCAGGCTGCGCCAAGCCGGTTTATTTGTGGCTTATTAAGCAGGCTGTGCAAAACCAGTCCATCCTGGCTTATTCAAAGAACCGTGGTTTTTCAATTGGCTCAAATCTAGGAACCAGGACCTGGTGCCTCCAGAAACCAGCTCCCATCAGACGACCGTCTTCTTTTTGCGAGGGATTCCCACGGATCTCAAGCCAGGCAGGAGACCCCCAAACCCTCCAGAGCCCCCATTTCCTCCCACCCCAATCGACCCCATTCTCACCTCCTCCGCATCACAGCCACAGCTTCCTCAAATAAACCCTGATTGGAGGCGGGGGTAAAATAGATCCCTCGGAAGCCACCCACCCTCGCCGCTGATTGGCCAGCGGGGGACCCCCCCCCCCTTCCTTCCCCCTATCCCGCGTCGCCGCCGCTTCTTTGACAGCTCGGATTGACAGAACCGGTATCGCCGGGGCAGGGCGGGGCCTCCTAATGCCGCCCCATCGATTGGTCGGCAAGTCCCGGCAGCGAATCCGAGTGACAGCCCGGCAGGCCGGTGAACGCTGAGCCGAGGGAAAAACGGAGCCAGTGATTGGGTGGGTGTTTGTAAAGCTCGCGCGAACCAGGGGAGGCGGGTCGCCGCGGCTCTATAGCAACGGGGCGGTTGCTACGCGGTCGGCTTAAGTTGCCCTTCTCTTCGGCGTGAAGGCGGCATGTGACAGGCGAGCTGCGCATGCGCGTTGGGACAAGCGGGCGTCCCCCACCTACCCCGCTCGTCTAAAATGCGCGTGCGCGGCTTTCCCGTCGCATCGTTTTGCGGACGATTTTCCAATCCTCGGTTTACGACCGAATAGCTGCAGAAGGAGAAAACGGACAGGAGTCGCTGCTAAGCGGGGTCGTCGTTGCCACCGCAGGAACCATCTCGGGTGGGTCAGAGCCCAAACCTGTCTAAGCCGTTAATAGCGCTATTAGAGGAAGTCCTCGAATTACGACCACAATGGGAAACAGCCCCCCCCATTTCTGTGGTCAAGCAAGGTGGTTCTTAAGCGAGTTTTGACCCATTTTATGGCCTTTCTTGTCACCGTTGTTAAGGGAATCAGTGCCATTGTTAGGTGAATCACTGCCATTAAATGAATCACTGTTGTTAAGCAAATCATTGCCTTTGTTAAAACGGATCACTTCCGTTGTTAAGTGAAAAGCTGTGGCACCTTCTCACTGCCTTGTTAGTTGGAACTGACCATTGGGCATCATCGATTCCCATATATATATATTCCCAAATATATATATTCTTAAGTTTTCGTGGGTACTTACATGTATGGCATTCAGCTTTGTTCGGGTATTTTCCCACGTCATTGTAGTTGTGCTTTTAAAGTTGTAGCAACGTTTCAGCAGAATCTCATCTGCCATCATCAGGCTTCTGTATAGTGTTCGTCTAAATATATATATATATTTATGTATGTATAGATATGGTATTCAGCTTTGTTCGGGTATTTTCCCACGTCATTATAGTTGTGCTTTTAAAGTTGTAGCAACGTTTTGGCACAACTTTAAAAGCACAACTTTAAAAACACAACTACAATGACGTGGGAAAATACCCGAACAAAGCTGAATGCCATACATGTAAGTACCCGCGAAAACTTAAGAAAACACACACATATATATATGTGTGTGTGTGTGTGTGTGTGTGTGTGTGTATATGTATATATAGAGAGAGAGAAAGAGAGAGAGTATAAATATAAATAATATAAATATAAATAAACACGATGTTCTTGCGTAGGGGTGGAAATCCCTCCGGCATTATTAGTAGAGTGCCTTCAGCCCCCCCCACCCCGCCCCCTCCCCCGGTTTGGCTAGCCAGAGGGAAGACTGGCCAGATTGACAGAGAGGAGCGATCCTTCTTCGAACGTCCATCCCGGCACCCTACCCGATCTAATTCGAGGGGGTGGTAATATGGGTCCGTCCCCCCCCGGGGGCATCAGGCCAGATGGTAGATGGCCTTCGCGTGGCACCCCCTTTCCCGGCAGGAAACAGCTTCTCCCCAAGGTCCCGTTAGCCTCCTCTTTTTGGCAGGCGGATGAAAACGGGGGTCTTTTTTTGTGGGGAGGGGGGGGCGGTTTGTGAGCTTTTCAAAGCAAGCCTTAATTAGCAGCGGAGATTTTAAGATCTTGTTTGGAGGCTGGAAAAATATTTAGTGTTGCAAGCTGTCTGCAAGCTGTCAGAGGAGTTTGTCAGTGTGGCCCTGTGGAGGAAGCTTTAGCGTGGGGGTGTGTGTGTGTGTCAAACTCAAGGCCCACCGGCTGGCTTGGAGTTCTTAGATCTGGCCCTGGAAACAGCAAAGCAGCCTGCAGTCCCTCTGCCAGAGGTCAGGAGGGATAACAGATAACCAGAGTTGGAAGGGACCTTGTAGGTCATCTAGTCCACACACCCCCATCCAAGCAGGAGACCCTACACCATTTCTGACAAATGTCAGTCCAATCTCTTCTTGAAAGCCTCAAGGGATGAAGCTCCCACAACTTCTGAAGGCAACTGCTGTTCCATTGATTGTTCTCCATATCAGAAAATTCCTCCTTATTTCCAGGTTAAATCTCTCCTTGTTCAGTTTCCATCCATTATTCCTTGTCTGGCCTACAGGAGCTTTAGAAAATAGCCTGACCCCTTCCTCCTCTCTGGGGCAGCCCCTCAAATATTGGAAGGCTGCTCTCCTGTCTCCCCTGGTCCTTCTCTTCACTAGACCAGCCAGGCCCAGTTCCTGCAACCGTTCATCGTATGTTTTAGTCTCCAGTCCCCTCATCATCCTGGTTGCTCTTCTTTGCATTCTTTCTAGAGTCTCAACATCTTTTTTTATAGTGGTGGTGACCAAAATTGGATGCAGTGCTCTGGGTGTGGCCTTACCAAGGCTTCATAGAGTGGTATTAGTACCTCCCTTGATCTCGATTGTATCCCTCTGTTAATGCAATTTGGGATTGCACTGGCTGCGTGCAGATTCCGTTTTTGCTGGTAGAGGGCTAGCAAAACAAACTAAAAACAAAACAAAAGGAGAAATGTTTCGCCCTTTGGATTTGAGCATGCAAGAAGGGACAGGAAAGGAGAAAGGGAAAGAGGGAAGGCAAAGAAAAAGAAGGGAAGAGAGCAAGGAAGGAAGAATAAGGAAAGAGGAGAAGGAAGAGGAAAGGAGAATGAAGAGGGAAGGAAAAGGAAGGAAGGAAAGGAAGGAAAGAAAGAAAGAGGGAAGGAAGGAAGGAAGGAAGGAAGGAAGGAAGGAAGGAAGGAAGGAAGGAAGGAAGGAAGGAAGGAAGGAAGGAAAAGACTGAAGGAAAGAAAGGAAGGAAAGAAAGGTAAGGAAAGGAAGGAAGGAAAGGAAGGAAGGAAAGGAAAAGGAAGGAAGGAGGAAGGAAGAAAGGAAGGAAAAGAAAGGAAGGAAGGAATGAAGAAAGAAAGGAAGGAAGGAAAGGAAGGAAGGAAAGGAAGGAAGGAAGGAAGGAGGAAGGAAGGAGGAAGGAAAGGAAAGGAAGGAAGGAAAGGAAAAGAAAGGAAAGGAAAGGAAGGAAGGAAGGAAGGGAAGGAAGGAAGCACTACAGGTGCCCCCGACACGAGTGATGTCAAGCTGGCCATGCCCCATCCTGGCCCCCCAAAGTCCGATGCAACCCTGAGGTGGCCCGCCATGAAATGGAGCGCCACCCCTGCTTTAGACTGGCCGGGGCACTCCGCTGTCCCGCCAGCCCCCTAGCCGACTTCTGCCACCTGGGCCTTGCCGGAGGAGTCCAGCCTAGCTCCTAATTTCTGCCTTGGCCTTTTGCTGTTGCTGCTCCGTAGGGCCTGGGCATGGTGCCTCCGTGTCCCTCAGGCCTGACCTTCAGCCTTGCCCCGGCTCTTTACCTGGGCGGGTCACCGCGGTCTCTGCTTCGTGGCAAGAGAAGCACTTTTGGACCAGGGGAAAAGGAGACGCGTCACAGGTAGCTGAGCTCCAGGTGGGTGGAAGGGGGTGTGGGGGAAGGCACAGGGGAGAAGGGAAGAAAGAGAAGAAGGGAGGAGAAGGAGAAAACAGCAGTGGAAGAGGAAGGGAGGAGAGAGGGAGAGGGTGAAGGGAAGGGGAGGGGAGAGGAGAGGAGGAAGGGAATAGGAAAGGAAAGGAGGAGAGGGGAGAGGAAGGAAAGAAGGGAGGGAAGGGGAGGGAAGAGGAAGAAGGGAATAGGAAAGGAAAGGAAAGGAGGAGAGGGGAGAGGAAGGAAAGAAGGGAGGGAAGAGGAAGAAGGGAATGGGAGGGGAGAGGGAAGGAAATGGGAGAGGAGAAGAGGAAGAGGAGAGGAAGAGGAAGAAGGGAAGGGGAAAGGAGAGGGAAGGAAATGGGAGAGGAGAGGAGGCAAGGCAGAGGAGAGGAGGAAGAGGAAGAGGAAGAAGGGAAGGGGAAAGTGAGAGCAGGGGAGAGGAGAGGAGGAAGAGAAGAGGAGAGGAGAACAGGGAAGGGCAGTGGAGGGGAGAGAAGAGGAGTTGGAGGAGGCAGCAACAGGAACAAGCAAAGAAGGGGCTGCTCCTACGATGGAAAGAGACCCAGAAGACTGACAGCCACCCATTAAGCCTGGGAACAATTCACTGAATTTTCTTGCCTCAAATCATTTGCGAACGGTGCTGGGGGGGGGGGGGGGGGGGGGGGGGGGGGGGGGAGAACAATATTTTTTGCCCCCCACCCTCCTGTCCCACAGCGTTAAACCTTACAGGATCCTGCAGATCCAGGGACAAGATGGTAGCTAAACAACAGAACGGCGAGACTTTGTGCAAGGGCGGGTGCTCACGACAGAGGCCCCCTGCCTGCCCCCACCCCAGTACTCCCCCCCCCCCACTAATGATGCAAGGCCTGGCCTCCACTAACACCAAGTTTATGAGACGGTTAAGATCTCCCCAGGGCCTGGGGGATCGGAGAGCAGCTGGTGCCCTGAAGTGGCAGCCTGCCATTGAGGTTAACTCTTTGCTGTGCCGCAGCCACCGACGGCTGACTGGGTGCCAAAGCTCCGTTCTGACGCTGAGAATCTAGAGCAGGAATCCCCAAACTTGGCATCTTTAAGACTTGTGGCCTTCAACTCCCAGAATCCCAAACTTGGCCACTTTTAAGAATTGTGGACTTCAACTCCCAGAATCCCAAACTTGGCAACTTTTAAGACTTGTGGACTTCAACTCCCAGAATCCCAAACTTGGCATCTTTAAGACTTGTGGACTTCAAATCCCAGAATCCCAAACTTGGCAACTTTTAAGACTTTTAAGACCCTCTTTATCCTGTTTTCCCAGCTGCAGCTAATGAAGGGAATCAGGGC